TTGGAGAAATGGTCTGAGTTAAACAGGATGAAGTTTAACAAAGACAAATGCAAAGTGCTCCACTTAGGAAGAAAAAATCAGTTTCACACATACAGAATGGGAAGAGACTGTCTAGGAAGGAGTACGGCAGAAAGGGATCTAGGGGTTATAGTGGACCACAAGCTAAATATGAGTCAACAGTGTGATGCTGTTGCAAAAAAAGCAAACATGATTCTGGGATGTATTAACAGGTGTGTTGTGAGCAAGACACGAGAAGTCATTCTTCCGCTCTACTCTGCTCTGGTTAGGCCTCAGCTGGAGTATTGTGTCCAGTTCTGGGCACCGCATTTCAAGAAAGATGTGGAGAAATTGGAAAGGGTCCAGAGAAGAGCAACAAGAATGATTAAAGGTCTTGAGAACATGACCTATGAAGGAAGGCTGAAAGAATTGGGTTTCTTTAGTTTGGAAAAGAGAAGACTGAGAGGGGACATGATAGCAGTTTTCAGGTATCTAAAAGGGTGTCATAAGGAGGAGGGAGAAAACTTGTTCACCTTAGCCTCTAAGGATAGAACAAGAAGCAATGGGCTTAAACTGCAGCAAGGGAGGTCTAGGTTGGACATTAGGAAAAAGTTCCTAACTGTCAGGGTGGTTAAACACTGGAATAAATTGCCTAGGGAGGTTGTGGAATCTCCATCTCTGGAGACATTTAAGAGTAGGTTAGATAAATGTCTATCAGGGATGGTCTAGACAGTATTTGGTCCTGCCATGCGGGCAGGGGACTGGACTCTATGACCTCTCGAGGTCCCTTCCAGTCCTAGAAACTATGAATAGTTTCAACATATTTCATCCACTTTAGAGCAGACATTGGGGGGACTATTCTTTCCCATGTTTAAATATTAAACCTTGTTCTTCCTGTTTTTGTTTCTTTGAATGTGACCACAGAGGGTGGAGGATTATCAACCAATAACAAAAATGCTTTTCTCTGCCAGAACTCTGTAGTGGGGTTGTCTCACCTTGTGATGGGCCAGCAGAAGTAGAGATGAGGAGTATACAGTGAACTTTAATTCTTCACCTTGCTAGGTTTGGTGTGACCATGAACTTCTATGTCTTTCCTTTACCTCTTCACTATAACTTTGACTTAGAAGGTCAGAATTAGCCAAGCACAGAAAGACCTGGTATTTAGGAAGGGCTCTGTCAGTGCAGGCTATTTGGAGCATCCAGTTCACCCTGACATTGTTTGCCTAGCAATGCTTTTAACCTGCAATATATACCAACATGGCAACCAATATAGTTCTCACATTGAGCTTCTCTTCACACAGAGTATCCCATTGATTAGTCCTTGCTCAAGTGCAAGGCAGTCTAAACTTATCTTCAGGGCCTCCCTGCATATGCTATCTTCCCCTAGTTTGCAACCAATGGGCAGGATTTTGGTCTTAGTTGTACTGATATAATTAGAAGTAACTCCACTGAGATGAAGGGAATCACTCTTGATTTGCACTGGTGTAAATCAGGTCAGAATCTGGCCCAATACATGGCTTTGTTCTCCCAGTTTGGAGTCTTATCATCTATGTATTATTAACATTTCATTTTCCTGGCTATATGTAGTTGAACAAAAATTCTCCTAAATTAGGTCCAGATTTGTCTGCTCCACATTTTTCACTTGAGATGTTTAACATCAGATTATGAAATGGCAGGCCTACCTTACCAGTTCCCTGCTAATTTCCTCTGGAAAGGTAAGGGGTTGTCATCTTTAAAGGGATAACTCAACTAGGCAAGGCATTCTGTTAACAATTGGAGGGTTTAGTAGTAAAGGAGATCTTTATTATCCACTTCTTCATACAGATGTATAGAGGCAACCACTTCAGTTCAGGCTGTTAGAAAAGACAGTTCAGCGTGTGTGATGGCCTGGGCCATTGCACTGGGAGAAGTACTCATATTAATGAATGTCTTTAGCATCTCCTAGCTACAGGTAAGGAAATTGCCTGAGAAAGGAAGGACATCGTCTCCCTATCTAGCACTGACCTTCTGACATGGTCCAGAGATGAGGTGGATACAGACCTGAAGCCAGTGAAGTAGTCTCTGCCTCAGTGACAAATCTGACTTCTCCAGTGATCAGGTATCAGATAAATGAGGAGAGCCTCAGCCAAAGTTGAATTTGAAAAAGCCTCCTAAAGCAGGCACTTCTTCCATCTCTTCCAAAAAATCTGAATGGCAGGCAGAGCATAAGGAGATTTTGCTCATGAGGCCATGTCTGCCGGGAGCGGTGACTCATCCACACAATTGAACACCTCTGGCACCGGATGTTGGGAATAATTTTCCTAATAAGTTTATTAAGGTTTACCATGACTCAGTTTCCACACAAGCATATCTTTATTAGTTCAAAGGCCACTTGGTGTTGGTTACATCCAAAATACAAGTATAAGCATATATACACTCATACTCTATATGCTAGCAACAATACAGTTGCAAGCATTGGCCAAATACTCACAACAGGATCAGGCTTGGGGATACCTTCCCTCCATGGCATTACTCCAGGGGCATAAGGAAAAGCTCTCACAAGGAAACCCCTACAATCTTTGTCTTTTTATACACTATGGCAGACAAGTGATGTCACTGCTGATTATCAGACCTTGGGTAAGGGCAGATGAAGCAGCATAGGGCTGAACCCTGTCCGCTGCCCTGGTCAAGACAAGAGCAATGACTAGGCCCCTTTCTTCAAGGTCCTTTTCTTAGCTCATTTTGCCATATTTTTCCCTAACTACTAAACTAAGCATTTTTTTATAATAAACTAAACAAACTAATCATTTCCTGCACCTCAGACTCAATTAACCATATTTTTTTTATTTCTGTTACCTCAACCCAGACCTTAAATAAGATGATGTAGAAATGTCAAGCATCACTACACATTTAACACAAACAACCCTCCTTTCTCGTGAGTTCATTCTTTTTGGTCACATGCTTTGGGACTTGTGTTAACATCAAAACTCAATTTAAAACTATAGTTCACCCAGGTCTAATGTGGGCCTACAATCCTACACCAGGTGAATAAAATACCAATGATTGGAAAGTAAACTTCTTATATAATGGAGGGGAATTTGAATATTTGGCACAAGGGCCCTCCCCTGATGTAATCTTAAAGGGACAAGTGATAACACAGTTGTAGAAAAACAATCAGGCATATTTCCAATATATAAATATGTATCTCTTCAGGCAATAACTTACATTTAGGCAAACGTATTGATTCACCCATTGCAATCTTCTTGATCCTTATATGTAGGGCCTTACCAAATTCACAGTCCATTTTGGTCAATTTCACAGTCATAGGACTTTAAAAATAATAAATGTCATGATTTCAGGTATTTAAATCTGAAATTTCACAGTGTTGTAATTGTAGGGGTCCTAACCCAAAAAGCAGTTGTGTGTGTTTGGGGGGGGGGGGAAGAGGTCACAAGGTTGTTGTAGGGGGGTTGCAATACTGCTACCCTTACTTCTGTGCTGCTGCGCGCGGCGGCGCTGCCTTCAGAGCTGAGCAGCTGGAGAGCGGCAGCTGCTGGTCAGGAACCCTGCTCTGAAGGCAGAGTCGCTACCAGCAGCAGCGCAGAAGTAAGGATGGCATGGTATAGTATTGCCAGCCTTACTTCTGTGCTGCTACCTTCAGAGCTGGGCACCCAGCCAACAGCTGCCGCTCTCCGGCTGCCCAGCTCTGAAGTCAGCGCAGAAGTAAGGGTGGCAATACCATGACCCCCTAAAATAACCTTGTGACCCCCCAAAACTCCCTTTTGGGTCAGGACCCCCAATTTGAGAAATGCTGGTCTCCCTGAAATCTGTATAGTATAGGGTAAAAGCACACAAAAGAACAGATTTCACGGTCTGTGACGCATTTTTCATGGCCGTGAATTTGGTAGGGCCCTACTTGTATGTTATTCTTATCCTAGTTGGGAGGGTCAACATTATTTTCTGTAGTATAGCATCCAGTTATCCTTTGAACATTTCCTGTTCATTCATATGCCCTAATTATAACATGTGCCTCAGATATTGCTCTAATTCTTATGATGACCTTTCCAGGGGTGTGCTTAGTGTATTATACTTTAGTTTTCCTCTACCTTTTCTGTACAGGGTGACAAATGACAAATACAATATTTAAGAAAAAGGCGCATATTGCACTAGGCTATTGTTTAACTGGTACGCGATTAAATTAGAATCAATATACACCAGCCATGGGCATAGTTTTGGGGGACCACAGGCAGCCTTATTCCTCCAACCTGCAAGCCTTGGGCAGGCACAGAACTTGCCTCCCCACATGTGGCCCCGTTGGCCTGATTGGAGCTGCCCCCCAAATATAGAAGTCAAACTACGCCTATGACACCAGCACAGCACAATGAAGGCAAATATATGTATTAAGTAACCTAAGCTAATGGTCAGATCAGTACTAGAATGTCAAGTATTCGTTTTATATCTTTATTGATGACAAAACTTAACATAACAAACAGCAACTCTATGTATACAGACATTAGGGTTGTCAGTAGGGATAGAACCCAGGACTGTCAACACCAGAAGTGAGAAGACCCTATTCCTTGAACATCTGTAAATTCTAATCTTGCTGGGACCATCCACTAGAGAAGACATCATCACAATAAGCCAGTATATGAGAGTAACATTCAAATATTACCTCTTTACAGAACCTTAGGAATTAATACACGTCCTTGAGAAAGCAAGAAAACAGCATGAAGCAATCTCTTAACTAGATACATAATCTATTTCTTTGAAAATATGCCCTCATGATACCACTGTTAGAACACTCCTTGTTGTAAGGCTGCTGTACTTTAATTCCACCTGTATTTAAACTCATTATTATAATTACTCTCAATGACAACCCGTTATCACACAAACAGGAAATGTGTGGTAAATAGAAATATCGCCATTCTCCCTCATTTAAAAAAACCCTAAACAAACCAGCTTATATTATTTTTATCCATGCTACAAAATATTCTTGACAAATTTGGAAATAGGAACTATTTTACCTTCAGACTGATGTGTAGCAAGAGGTGTCTGTGTCTCCTTGGAGTAGGACACCACTTCCCGTGGTAAGAAATCAACCTGGGTAATCTTTGACACACCTAGCTTGTGAAGTCTGCGTCTAAGATTTAATGTGAAATCAGAAGGTTAGTCAAGTAAGTATATAGCACTGTTACATTAAAATACCGCAGTGAGCTTTCACAGACAGGATGACAAAATTTTAGTGTCTGCTAAAATGAAAACTAATAACTAAGTATGGTTAGTTTATTGGGAAGCATCTAATAAAACACACTGACTTTGCACTGAAGGAAATTAACCTGAGAACTACTAGCCAAAATAGAATTAAAGTTAATAAACTGTGCACTACATATTTCTGCCTTTTTGGGGGTAGAGTTCATGTTGAGGGGAGGAGATGTAATAGGAAGGGCAAGAGATGTTGTGTTCATAGGGCCTGTTCATGTATTCAGCAGATCTGTGCACAGAGGATGCATGGATACCCTCTACACACCTATAGGTGCTGTGATCCACATAGTGATGGGGACAGGCTGGGAAAGGAGCCAACAGAACTGAAGGGGAAAGTGCATCTCTCCACCACCTATATGGAGCTGGGGAGAAACAGAATAAAGACTGATTATTGCCCTCCTGATGAGTATCCTTCTTAAAAGAGGGTTCCCAGAGAATTTGATGGCTATGGGAATCCTGCCAACATAGCTTTACTGGAGTTGTGCTGCGAAAGGGTGGGGGAGTCACCAGGAACACAGAGCTGGCATACAGGCATGAATTGTCTTGCTTTCTCTCCGTTTCCCTAACTATACATAAACTGCATGGAAATAAGCAAGAAAACCAAGCAGTATAGTTTCTATTGAAATAATAGAGACAGCTAGTCAAACAATGAAAATGTTTAGTCAAATGGAATGTATTCAGTGACCGATGGGGCAAAAAACTGTCTAATTGTTTCCTGAATATTATTCAATTATCTGTAGAGATGGATGAATAAAGTAACATTTATCTGTAAATAGTCTATTGGGCAAAAAATGCCAACATCCCTCAGATTAATTAATTTGCAACTAATAATTTGACTAAACAAATTTCAAATTTGGTTGTCTCTAGATCAACCTTTGGGAAGTGTGTGCGCACATCTCTGGGAAGGCAGGGAAGTAAATTCATAGCTCTGTATCAACTTGAGTACCCTGTAATAAAATCTCAGTTTGGGAAACTGGTTCAAATACAGCTTGTATATCCCCTCTCCATGACTGTCAGAATATATGTCTGTGTTTAAGGGTTATTCCTCATAAAAGGTGATATATGAAAGGAAATAAGAGTCCCAAAAGTAAACCAGTATCATACGGATGACAGCTAGTTTGTTCTCCAGCTACTGCTGCATCAGCTATATGTATTTTTTTTCTGATTCGTCTGACTCGCTGAGTGTTATTGTGCTAAATACAATTAGAGTCACTAGGTAACCAGTATGAATCAGTCCAATAAAGTAACAATCCACTAGAGCAATAGCAGCGGTTACAGCTTGTGATTCATTTTTACTAGAGAATTAATGAGCCTGCCTGATGCCAGTTTTCAAGGATGTGCCTCTGCGGATGTAAAGAAAAGCAATTCATGTTTTAAAACCCTACATGAAACCTAGAAACTTCTGCTCCCTGAGACATGTTGTGGGGATCTGTAACACCTACCAAAAGTTTACTCTCATGCTGCTTATCTGTAACAACTTTGACTAAATGTGGTGAGGATTCAGACTTTAAAAACTAAAGTTAAATGTCATGTACTCTTCCTTTTTCTATCATCACTGATTTCAAATCTACATTGTTTATATGATTAAATAGACTTCTCCTATGTAGTCACCTCCTATCTAGGCCTAGGAATTCTTTACTGAAATCCCAAAGATTTCTTCACTCATATAACTTCTTTATTGTGGTCTCAATTGAGTATTGGTGCCATACTAATTCTGCTTCTAAAATAGTAGGTCTGTGTGTTACCTTTATAGAATCCCATTCAATACTAAAGAAAATACTCTATCCGTTAACTCAATAACTCTTTGCAGGAGTGAAAGTCTGACTTGAGACTTGGTCAACTGCTTTGCAGACTGATAGCCTGCACATGAGTTAAAGTCCATTTTAGAGAACTTCACTGAAAGAACATATTGCATTTTTAATCTCAAACATGTTTAATTTAAGCATTGTTTACAGATCCATAGCTCACTAGTGTCTCGCACTGATAATCACCTGTTATATCAAATGGTCTTTCTTCATCTGAAAGAATAAAGACTGAGTGACCTAGACAAATTGGAGGATTGGGCCAAAAGAAATCTGATGAGGTTCAACAAGGACAAGTGCAGAGTTCTGCACTTAGGAAGGAAGAATCCCATGCACCGCTACAGACTGGGAACCAACTGGCTAAGCAGCAGTTCTGCAGAAAAGTACCTGGGGATTAGAGTGGACGAGAAGCTAGATATGAGTCAGCAGTGTGCCCTTGTTGCCAAGAAGGCCAATGGCATATTGGGCTGTATTAGTAGGAGCATTGCCAGCAGATCGAGGGAAGTGATTATTCCCCTCTATGTGGCACTGGTGAGGCCACATCTGGAGTACTGCGTCCAGTTTTGGTCCCCCCCACTACAGAAGGGATGTGGACAAATTGGAGAGTCCAGCAGAGGGCAATGAAAATGATTGGAGGGCTGGGGCACATGACTTACATGGAGAGGCTTAGGGAACTGGGGTTATTTAGTCTGCAGAAGAGAAGGGGGGGGGATTTGATAGCAGCCTTCAATTACCGGAAGAGGGGTTCCAAAGAGGAAGGAGCTAGGCTGTTCTCAGTGGTGGCAGATGACAGAACAAGAAGCAATGGTCTCAAGATGCAGTGTGGGAGGTCTAGGTTGGATATTAGGAAACACTATTTCACTAAGAGGGTGGTGAAGCACTGGAATACCTAGGGAGGTGGTGGAACCTCCATCCGTTGAGGTTTTTAAGGCCCGGCTTGTCAAAGCCTTGGCTGGGATGATTTAGTTGGTGTTGGTCCTGCTTTGAGCAGGAGATTGTACTAGATGACCTCCTGAGGTCTCTTCCAATCCTAATATTCTATGATTCTATGAAGGTGTGTGGCCTCATAGCACACCTTTTGGCTCCATGAATCAGCCAACAAAGGGTGCTTGTATAGCCAAAAGCTGGTCTAGCCCTTGATCACAAATACATTACCTCCATTCAGGACCTGAGCTCCACAACTATAAGCTAAAATGTCCTATTCCAGAACTCAAGCTTCCTGTAAGGCAGCACACACATCTGCCATCAACCATGTCAGCTTCCCACTCACATGCATCTTTCCTTTTAGATGCTCTTAAGCCCTTTGAGTCTACAGCCTGCTGAGTGTTTTTGGATTTGCAGAATCTTTAAAGGATACATTTTCAAAGCTGTTCATAGGATCTTAGTCATGGAACGTCACTAGGGACTGAGCAGCCCCAGTCTGCAATCTCTAGTCTTTTACATCAAAAAATTATCCCTATGTCTGTAGAAACCAGAAGAGATACAAGTCCACTACAGACATTTTAGCCATATGAACAATTTGTATGCAATCTACAGAATTTATTGTGCAGCATTCCTTTTTCAAATTTCTGTACCGTCAGAGGAAGCCCTGTTTCTTCTGGTAAAATTGTCCTTCTGAAGACTGGCTGCTATTGAGAAATGGACAGAACTCATCATGCATTGGAGAACATGTGCCTGTGGTACACCCAGCCTTGCTATGAATTCACTCTCCTGATCATCCTTCATTCCTTTCTTTGCACTGACAGTGCATGCATGAGAGAAAGTGCCTGGCTGTCATGGTGCTTATCCATATATGTGCCATATATGCCCCTGCTCTTTGCTTTTTCCTTCTAAAAGAAAGGAAACTTGGGTGACTTTGATTCGTGGGGATGCTCACTGTCCAACCCACATTGCTGGGAAGGGATGCCAGGATTTCTATCAGGATTCTGTATGTGAATACACTTTGAAAATTCCATTTTTTGTATCATTCTCCAGGTAGTACTGTATGAGTTGGCTACATCTGAAGCCACACCACCCATCACAATTGGCCACTGAAAAGGAGGAGGACAAAAGCTGCCTAACAGTTCTGGGGTGGAAGAGTAACATTGATGAACCCTACCCAGCACTTCTGTCTGTAGTGCAGGGAAGTGGGAGGATGTCTGCTACACTGCTGCTCTTCTGATATTTTTTCTTCTTCTTCTCCCCCTATGAATAGGCCAGTGCCAGACTAGATTACTGCTCATAGCTTTGCCAAGCACCGAGCAAAGTGAAACTGGCATGGTCTTTATCATTTGCATTATGACCAACTGGATTCTGAATAGCAGCTATGAAATTTACCAGAATCTTGTCAATTTCAATCTGCAGTCAATGTGAAAACTATGAGTAGCAGCATAAGCACTAGAAATATCTACCTGTAGACCAGAGGTGGGCAAACTACGGCCCATGGGCCACATCCGGCCCGTGGGACCATACTGCCCAGCCCTTGAGCTCCCAGCCGAGGAGGCTAGCCCCCATCCCCTCCCCCACTGTCCCCTCTCCACTGCAGCCATGCCGCCGCGTGGGCAACGCCCTGGGTGGAGGGGTTGCGCGCTCCTGCCGAGCAGCGCAGCAGCGTGTCTGGCTCCGGCCGGGCGGTGCGGCTGCCAGACATGCTGCTCTGAGTGGCATGGTAAGGGAACCAGGGCTGGGGGGGTTGGATAAGGGATGGGTGGTCTCGGGGGGGCAGTCAGGGGACAGGGAGCAGGAGGCGGTTGGATGGGGCGGAGGTTCTGGGGGGCGGTTGGGGGGAGGGGGGTTGGATAAGCGTGGGAATCCCAGGGGGGCCTGTCAGGGGGCAGGGGTGTGGATAGAGGTCAGGGGATGGGGAACATCCAACCCCCCCTGCTCCTGGTCCCCTGACCGCCCCCTCCCGGGAATCCCCGCCCCTAATCGCCCCCGGGACCCCACCCCCTATCCAACAAGGGGGGGTTGGATAGGTGTGGGGTCCCGGGGGGCCTATCAAGGGGCGGGGGTGTGGATAGGGGTCAGAGCAGTCAGGGAACTGGGAGCAGGGGGGTTGGATAGGGGGTGGGGTCCCAGGGGCGATTAGGGGCGGGGATTCCCGGGAGGGGGCGGTCAGGGGACCAGGAGCAGGGGGGGTTGGATGGGTCAGGGGTTCTGAGGGGGGCAGTCAAGGGGTGGGAAGTGGAAGGAGTCAGATTGGGGGCAGGGGCCAGGCTGTTTGGGGAGGCACAGCCTTCCTTACCCGGCCCTCCATACAGTTTTCAACCCCGATTTGGCCCTTGGGCTAAAAAGTTTGCCCACCCCTGCTGTAGTCTCACAAAGATAGTACTATGTAAGTTCTTATTTAGAAGATTAGCTTCTGAAACATCAGGGCTGGAAAATTTTGTTTAAACAAAAGCTTAAATTCTGCACAAATTGATGGATTTCCTCTCAAGAGGAAAAGTTTCCTTACCACTACTGCAAGTGGACTTTTCAAGTCTATATTTTGTGGCATATTTTCCCCTCTCATTTTATTTCTTCATTCATACCCTCAAACTTGTATTAACAATTGTATCACAATATAAACAAAGAAAAACTATTTTCACACCTTGAGAAGCATTGGCAGGAAATGATTGGGTAGCTTAGCCTCTGATTCTTGTGCTACAGTATTTCCCGCAGCAGCCAAACTATTTGTGATAGTTAACTTTGGTGATCACATGGATGATATCCAAATCAAGATCAAATGACTCAACACCAAGCCATATTTTCACTTTGAACTTCAGTTCCATCTCCAGTGTGATGCTAACGTTAGGGGAATCAGGAAATATTTGGAATTTCATGTGTCATTGGCTAAAACTGATTTCCGCTGATTGGTCCATTATAAAAATACTCCATAATATGGATTTCACTATTGTACAACAATAGACACCTTTCATACTAAATAAATTTGACCCTTTTAAAAAATATATACCAGCCACCCATTGATAGTGGTTAGTTTCAGTTACTCAAAGCAGTTAACTTTTTCACAAGCACATGGCAAAAGTATCCCAAGCTAGAAAAAGTATTAATTTCAGCCTAATTATAAGTAAACAAACCTTAACTGACATAGACTCAATTAAAAAGCAAAATGACTCTGGGGCTGTGAAAGTGATAGTTTTATTTGCCAAGGGTACAAATATAATTGTTCACGTTATTAACTCTTAAGGAAGGAGAAGGTGTGATTATTACTGTCTAAGAGAAACAACTTTAACTTTAACTATGGTAAAGATGGGGATAGGGAAGCATCCTGTGAGTAATTCAGTATGACAAGTCAGAATTAACCAATACTAACTAGACATTGGTATAATTAACTGCATATATTACATTTTCAGTTAAAGCGCCACTATAACAACATTTCATCCATAATGAAATGGTAATGTTTGTTATTGTTCTCGGACAGCAGAAATTGCAGGTCATCTTTTTATAGGCTTTTTTTCCCTGTTTCCTCATTAAAAAAATTTCTCTGCCAAAGCTTAATATCACTGGTGAAACTAACAAAAGAAAACTTAAATTATGGTACTTTAGATTCACCAAAACAATAATAATAATAAATTAAACCCACACAAAAGCAGCTCAATTGGGAAGCAATTTCAGCATAACTCTTGCAAAGAAATAATAAAATGAACAAAAGAGCTGATATATACCCAAGTTCAGAGTCAGACTGGAGCTGCAGCACTGAGGGGTCTGTGTCCCACTGCAGGGTCCTAAGGTAGTTATCAGCCGTGCAGCACAAAGGAAAAAAAGAACATAGAGAATTAACTGAAAGGATGAAAAAAAGCTCATCTCATTAATTACATGCTGTATACAGTACATACACAGGGCACACCTCAAAGTACAACTGAGAGCCACAATTAATGTCAAACAAGGTTTGATGCTAGACTACAAGAGCAGGTAATTTATTAAAATTACATAGAACTGGAGTACATTGTACTAGTAAACAAAGGAAAGAGACTTTCAGTCTGAGGCCTTTTTTTTTTTTTTTTCAAAATTTACTTAATAAAAATGTGTAATTTGGATCTCCAAACAATTTACAGACTCACTAGCTGTTCCCTGTGTACTCACAATAAGCTGTAAGATTTGCAGTAGGCACTTATCAGAGGTTACAATGATGGGATGTATGACATGATGTACTTGAACTCTCCCCGTGAAACCTCACTGAAGAATTTAGCCCTTAATATGTCTTCTGAAACTGACAAAAAACCATTATATACAAGTTAACATCTTTTTTGTGATGTCGTGTATCACAAATTATAATGTTTAATATTTTGTGGGACAAGGTAAACAAACAAGTATTTTTTTCACCATATAAGAATCTATCCTGACTTTTTTTTTTAATTATTTCAATATAATTACCTGCCACTGATTTTTCTTTATGATGGAAGCACTGTGCTATCAAAGAATAGATGAGTAATCCAGGAATGCAGCCTTAGCTGAAGATTTCATAATATAGCACAATGAAACTTTCCATCTGAGGTCAGATCACTTTACAAGCCCTAGTAAGACTCTCCGCATTCTTGTGAAGTGGTATAATCCCCCAATTTATAAATGAAGGAATTGATATGCCAAGAGGTTCAGGCCAAAACTTTCAAAAGTGGCCACTCATTCCAGGTGTCTTGATTTTTGGCTTCTCAATTGGAGACACCTCTTAAAAATGTTGGCCCACGTAAATTGCCAGTCTGTGGCAGAGGCAGGCAGAGAACCCAAGTCTTCCTAACTCCCTTTCCTGTGATTTAAGCATTAGACTATGCATGGTCTTCATTAGCAGATGTTAAAACAAAGTGAAACAAGCCTCCTTCTCCTTCACAAAAACAACTAACTTATCTGATGTCACTGCATCATGATGGCCCCTAAATTGGTGAGCTCCTCACCTTTTTTGATCCAACCCTATTTATTTGAATCCAGATTTCAAAGCTGTACACAGAATATTCTTTTACCATGTTCACCCAGTACAAATCATATCATCCAATGCAGATTTATGCACATTACCTACCACAAAATGGCAACCTCTGCTAATGTATAATCTGAAGAAACTGTCTCAATCCATATAAATGCTGCAACCTACTATACTTATAAACTCATCACTCTGATGCCAATGTCAACCCACTCTCTGGGGAGGGGAGCAAGGACATGTGCTGTACTCTGACATGTCAAAATGAAAATCAATCAATCAATCTCATACCCATAAACATGTACAAACGATGAAGAATTATAACAAGAAGATATAGAGATTTGGTATGATGCAGGGCATTCACTCCCATGAGCTGTAATGGGAGATGTGCAACACAGATGTTGTTGTCCAGAGTTTTTGTGATGTGTCTCAGAATTATTCTAGGAGACTTTTCTAGAGCAGGAGCCTATCTTGTCTGCCTAAGATAGGATGTTGTAAAACAGGCAGAGAAGTATCGAGACATTAGTGAAGAGTGAAATTTGTCCCTGCAATGCAGGTAAAGATTTGAATGTCTGATGGTAGGAAAAAATCTCAGTGCCTAATGCACTACAGAGATTGTTAAACACAAGCCATCTGTGTGAAAATGACCCCTGAAATGCTGCCAAGGGCAGTAACACATAGTGTGATTTCATGAGTAAGTGCCAATTTTTAATGTTATGGCTACCTTGGGGCCACTTATATTTGCACACCCATGTTTTCCAAACACTTAGGAAAAAGATATATGTAGCTTGTTTGCAGGGCCGGCTCTGGCTTTTTTGCCGCCCCAGGCAAAAAAGCCTCCGGCCGCCCCCCCCCCCCCTGGGGGGGGGGCGGCCAGGGCGCCGGGGGGAGGGCGGCGAGCCCAGCTGTGGCCCCGCTCTCCCCGGGGGCTGGAGCGCCGCGCCGCCCCCCTCCAGGTGCCGCCCCAAGCACCAGCTTGGTTGCCTGGTGCCTGGAGCCGGCCCTGCTTGTTTGAGTCAGATATTCTCTCTTTTCTCCATCCACTTTCAGAACTGTCAAATTTCCCAAGAGACAATCAATATTCCATTAGGGAGAATTCCATTACAGTGTGATTAAAATGAGAGCTTAGCAACAGAATGCTCAAGGGCTATAGACCATCTAGGTCTGTCCAAAGTAGCACCAGGTCAGAGGTAATTGTGAACTGTTACCATCTAATAGCCATTTGGTGTCTTTAAGGAAGGAAGTTCTGAGCTCTCCATCCAGCTAGGAGTTGGACAGGTGTCAAAACCACAAAAGACACCACTACAATTGATACTTATAGGTGCAATAGTTGAAAGACCCAACAGAGTGATACCAGCTTTATTGTTATTACAATAGCATCTGCAGGCCACAATCAGAGAGCAGGGTCTCATTCCTTACATACAGTACGAACGTAGTGGAGACAATTTCTGCCGTAAACAGTTTACAATCCAGGTTATGAACAAGAGACTCAACCTCCCCCAATCCTCTTAAATTTCAAGTTCCTCAGACCTAGAACTATGTCACTTTATGTGTATGGGACACTATGGGATCCTGACCTTGATTTGAGGCCTCTAGACACTAATATAAATGTTTAAAAATAACATTCCACCCCTCTGAGACAAAGCCAGCTTCAGCAGTTTTGGGTGGGTATGGAAAACAATTTTTCAACCTCCGCTCAAAAATGTAGCAGACCTCCATCCACTGCGATCCTACCACTGTGCACAGAACTGGCCACAAGGTTTGAGGGATGGTTAGTAAAATGATTCTTTGGGGCACTGCCAAACTTGAGTCTGCAGGAAGTGAGGCGTCAGGTCACTAATCTCCTGCTCCAGAACAAATAGAGCCTAAATTATTGTGCATAAAAATTGTGTGTAAAAAATTTCTGTGCATAGGGCAAAGACAGAACATTTTACAAGGGACAATATTCCAAATAAGCCAGGGTCTAGAATTGTCCCTTGCTACTTCTTGCTACTTGGAGGAATCTTTGAGCATTCTCATGAGTATTAGCACTAAGCCTGATCCTTCTTGGACATCTGTAGGGGACACCATGAGTGTCCTAAGAGCTCCATGAAAAATCAGTGGCAACTTTTTAAATCTAGGGCTTGACTTACTTTTTCAGGGTTTTCTTCACAAAGAAAAGGACTAGAAATTATTTCTTTCCTAAATTCAAATTGACATTAGCCTTGACACTTGTATATGCCAAAAATTGGGGGAAGGGGAAGGATGTAGTGCAGATTTTACAGGCTCAAAGACCAATTTTGTGTCTAGAAGTGTTGTTTGCAGGTCAGCAGGATGCATTGTTGGAGCGAGGCAGGGAGTTAACACTGCTTCTACCACACTGGACCTATTCTGAAGACATAACCCACTGAAGTCCAGTGAGAAACTTTCTAACGATTCTAATGGAGTTTGGATCATATCCATGACATTTCCATTTTCAAGGCACTTTTCACCAAGTTCAGTCATGAAAAAACATTTACATGGAAAAAAATGAAGTCTCAATTCATATTTTCATTTTATTTACATTAAAAATAGCCAAGATGAGTGGAGTGCAATTGAAATCAGAACAAGGCCCACAACATATATTGAGAGGTCATTTTTTGCAGAATTATTTTAATACTGATTTATTCGTATGGTAATATTTGGTTTCAGAATCATTCTACTCTTCTACAGTGTGCATATCTTAGAGGATACAGAAAGCATGTGGCCAAGGAGTGGTCACTTGATGCCATCATCCCACTTCACCACAAACAATTGGGAAGTTAAGCAGTAACTTACCCATTTTAGCCTGGTGTATGAAACACCCCGGCAAGTGAACATTCCAGGGGATAAAAGTTATTGGGCTCAGTACAAGAATAACCAGATGAAGTTCTATGTCCTGTGTTATACAGGAGATCTGACTAGATGATCTAATTGTCACTTCTGGCCTTAAAATCTACAAAAATAGATTGCCAGAACCCACTGTCTGAGAGATGGAGTAGAGTGGGTGAAGTGGAAGCTGGAATGGAAATATGGGGCTTCCTTGCAGATGCCCTTGCTTCCATCGGTCTCCTGAGATCCATTGGTTTTGAGCCGTGAACAGCTTGTTTCTTCTGTGGGTGAATTAAACACACACACAAAGCGAGGAATTTACAGGAAACTCCACAAATGAGGGCTCAATGAGTTCAGTTCAAGAGAGCCGCTCAGAACTGAGCCAGATCAGGCCATTCCCATCATTCAGAAAGTGCAGATGTTATTTTAGTCAGAGTGCACTACATTGTTTCAAAGAAGTTCATTACATAAGTCTCCCACACAGTGACAAACAATAGCCCCGCTATCAATCTTCCTGTGACATGTTTGCTGAGCAATTGCTGCCCTTGATTGTTTGTAGGCTAAAAAACAGTGTAGCCGTTATCAAATATGAATTGTTCTTCAGCTTTCCTTGAACAAGAAGCTGCATGTAAGGAATGAGGCTTTTTAGATCATGGCTGCAACTTAATAGGAAAGGTACAAGTGTGGGTACAAGTTGGGTTATGTCTAACTAAACTGAATCATTTTCAAACTCTTCCAACAGAATTCCACATTTTAATATTCTGCATTTACCTAATAATATGAACTCAATTACCACTCTACAGGCATCATGTCTATCTGTCATGAGTGAAATTCAGGACTGCGCATTTAGGGTACGTCTACATTGAAATTAGACACCCTTGTCTTGCCCTTGCCAGCTGGCTCGGGCTCGGGCTAAGGGGCTATTTAACTGCAGTGAAGACTGTCAGGCTTAGTCTGCAGCCAAAGCTGTGGGAGCTTCTCACCTCA